AATTACCAAGCAGAAATTTAATTATAGGATTGGGCTTTTGTGTATTTTGAGGGGAGCCTGTTATTTGGCTGTTTGTTTTATTGGAGGAGCAGGTGGGAGGTGTTGTTATTAGATGACTGAGGGGTGAGAGGCTACAGTATAGGGTGCTGAGCTGGACGTGGAATAAGGCCCAGACTGCCTGAGGGAGCTCGGCCTCAAAACTGCCAGGCTGACAGGCCGAAACTGCTAGGCTGGGGAGACTGCTCACCACTGACCCCAGGCCTGCTATAGACTCCTTCCAGCCCCCTGTAAGCAAGTCCAGGAGAGCACACTGTTATTGTTCTCATACTATAGATAAAAGAACTCAGAGTATTTCCCCCCATGTGCCAACTGTTACCAAGCCCTTCCTTTCTTCCTAAAAAATGTCTCACAAACTCACAATTTTGTTCTGTTTCTACCACCAGCACAAAAGTCTTGGCCCCCATTCCCTCCTGCTTGTATCAATTAACCAATTGACTAACCAATTAACCGATCAATTAAGCGGCTTCTTTTAGCCTGTCAGGAGTCTCTCCTTCCCATCAATCCTTCATCTAGCTGTTAGATGAACTTCCTTCAAACACAGCTGTTCCTAGTCACCCTAGCCTGCTCAATATCCCACAGAGCCTCCTGTTAGCCACAGACTCTAGACCAGGACCCCACAAATGTTACCTGAATTCTCTGGGACCCTGTTAAAATGCAGATTCTTTTCTGGGTAATCCCCTAACTTATTGAAACTCATAATAACCTTAAGTTAACAGCCCATTTTACAGATGAAAAAACTGAGGTTCAGAGAGGTTGCCCAAGGTTTGGAATAGGGCCTGAGCTCCTACATGTCTAATAGTCTAATAAGATCCCAGGTGATGTGGTTGATTCAATGAGCACACAAAGTAGCGAGATTCTTCTAGACCAAACTTTCTTGCCTAGTTATTTTTTCTTTGAAACATGGTTTGAAAAAAAATTTTTTTTTTTTTGAGACGGAGCCTCAAGCTATCCCCCTGGGCAGAGTGCCATGGCATCACCCTCACAGCAACCTCCAACTCCTGGGCTCAAGCAAGTCTCCTGCCTCAGCCTCCCAAGTAGCTGGGACAAC